AGGATGAGTTTCGCATTAAACATGCTTAGTCTGTTGTCCCTGGCAGTCTTCCAGATACCCAGGAAGAAGCTAGAGTTTAATAGGTACTTTTTAATTATTATTTAGGTATGGTGAGACAATGGATCAGGAAATGATTGTCATATAAAAGTTTATTACTCACAATTCCTTAGAGGAGGAGATATGGCATGCCACATGTGGCCATATCATGAAGCACCAGGTTAATAGGGATATGAGCCTCTACTATGGTTTCTGCAGTTTGAAATGGGACAGGTAGTTTAAACAGGCTTGAAATGTGTGAGTTTGAATATTTTCAACAGTCTCTGGGAAATAAGGGATGTCTTAAATTATATGGTACCTGGCCTTGGTTTGATCAAAGCACTTTACATAATGGCTCAAAGTGTAAGGATCCAGTTCAACCCAAATAAAGGAGATGGCTGAAATATAAGTTCTGGATTAGGTGGTTTGTCCATGAAAATTGTTTTTAGGAAATTCTTTTGTTGTCTACCCCTGAATAAGACAGAACCTCCAAGGTCTATCAAGTCTCCAAGTATCAATTCATTATATATTTATATATACATTACATATATATAATACAAATAATGTATATATATATTCATATATATTTTAAATATTCAATATAAATATATAGTTATATACTCATATATTTATATATACTACATATGTTATATATAAGTATATAAACATTTAATGTATACTTATATATGTTATATATAAAATAAAATGCATTTTAATACAACTGGCTTATTAAAGTCTAAAATTCATATAAGACCTTGTGGGTGGAGACATACATCTGGGTGTTATCCACACAGAAACTCTGTGGTTCAAGCTTTGAAATGGATGGCATTTTCCAGGAAGGGTCTTTTGAATGTTAAGAGAAAAGGATTTGAGGTGGAACCCTGAGGAGGAACCATAAGATTTAGGGAGTGCACAAAAAGGAGCACACCAAGGAGACTAAGAGATGGCCAGAAAAGAGGAAGATATTCAAGAGGGAAGAGGAAGAGGTTTTGTGTAAAAAAAGGATAGTAATCAACGTGACCAAGGAAAGAACTGAAAATGTGCACTGCGTTTTTTCATAAAAATTAGAGAGGACGTCATCCATATAGTAGTGGGTTGAAGATTAGTGGGAAGGGAAATGGTGGAAACAATGAGTAGAGACAATTCTGTAAAAAAGTAATCTATGAAGAAAGACATAAAGATGAAACCAAAATTGGTCATAGAGTGAAAGGAAATGTGTTTAAGTGAGAGAGGCTTGCTCTTAGGTACCTCTATTGGGAAAGAGGCAGTAGAGAGCTGAATGTTAAAGACACATTGAAAAGACTGTGAATTTTTGATATGATTAACTTGGATATTTGTGTTATTCTTTTCAGAAGAATTTAATTAACCCGACTTGAGCTATAGAACCTATAAATATTATATTCTTCCAGAGTTAGGTGGATGTTACAGAGTGGTAAGTTAGAGATACTGACATGGTGAATATCAATTGAACAAGGAATACAAAACACAAAGATGAAAGTGGGGAGCTGAGAGAACCCAAAGGGCAAAAGTGTAGGCATGAGGAAACAAGGCAGCACTTCATTAAACAATCTTTTGGTTTGAGACTCTTTGTACAGTATCAGATTTTTAAAGACATGTGAACAAATGGCTGGTACATTTTCTTATAAATTAGGAAAGTACAGATCCTGTATTTCAGTGTTTAATGAATCTGAGATTTTTTTTTACTAGAATTCAAAAGTCAATAAGTACTGTTTTGGTTTGGATCTGGATTATCCCCCAAAAGCTCATGTGCAGAAGGTGTGGTCCCCAGTGCAGCAATGTCCAATGATTAGCCATTTTGGAAAAGATTGTCTAATAAAGTCTCTAATCTCACCTGTGGATCAATCCACTTGATGGATTGATAATTTTAATGGACTTCTGACAGGTGGTGTAAAATGTAGAGACAGTAGATAATATAAATGTGCCACTGGGGACTATATCTTCTCCTTAACCCTTCTTCTCTTTGTCTCTGCTGACCAGCTGCCCTGTGCTGAGCAACTTTCTCTTATCACACCATTCTACCAGGATGTTGTGTCTCACTCCAGGCCCAGAACAATGGAGCCAGCCTACCTAGAGTGAAATCTCTGAAACCTTTCCTCCTCCAAGTTGTTTGTGTAAGATAGTTTGGTCAGAGTGATGAAATTCTGATTATCACAGGCCCTATTGACATATATTGGGGATTTGGTCCCTCCTTTCCAACTCATCTTTATCTTCTGCTCTTTATTTCTTATTTTATTTGCAAGAATAAATTTTATCATGTATTTTTAAGGTATAAAACATGATACTATGAGATATATAAATAGTATAATGATGCATGTATAATATGATCATGAAGCATGTTAATATACATTTTCTCACAATTTCTCATATTTCTTTGTTTTTGTGGTCAGAACAGTTAATATTTTTAATTTAACATAAATTCCATCATTTTAACATATCATTTCATGTTATGATTAGATCTCTAGACTTTTTAACCCTAAATATCTTCTATTATCCTTTGACCTATATCTTGTCCTTTCATCCCCCCATCTCATACTGACAACCACGTGCTATTTATGTTTGCATATTTTGTTTGCATATTTTGTTTATGTTTGGATCTGGATTATCTCTTTCATTGTACATCTAAGTGAGATCAGGCAAGTTTTGTTTTCTATTTCTGGATTATTTGCCTTATATAATGTCTCCCAGTCTTATCCATGTTGTGGTAAATGACAGGATCTCCTTGTCTTACCCATTTTGAATTGTTTTTGTGCATGGTCTAAGGTCCAATTTCATTCTTTTACATGAAGAAATTTATTTCTCCCAGTACCAATTATGAAGGGAATTATCCTTTCCTCATTGTGACCCTCTTGAAAAATTAAATTATATTTGTATCTAGGTGATGTCTTCTATCCCATTGGTCTATATGTCTGTTTTTCTGTGTGTGTATGTGTTGTGTTTAAGAGTTCCAGATATTTTTGTTTCTATTGCTTTGTAACAAAATTTTAAATCATGAATTTTGATACCACAACTTTGTTTTACTTTCTAAGTATTGCTTTGGCTGTTTGGTTTTGTCCTTTATGTTTTATGAACATGATTGTTCAAGAATAAATTTTATCATGTATATTTAAGGTATAATTCTTGACATTCTGTCAAGTTTGCAAGTTTCATGTCATCTATTCTACATCTATCCAACTAAGATTAAGAAGTTAAGTTCAATTCTCCCAGTTCAAAGATGTCTCATTTTCTTATCCACTAAAGTACCCACTTGTTTTTTAAATCTCCAAGTTTTATCATATTATTATTATATCATAATTATTGATTATTATTATCATAATTATCAATAATTATCATATTGTATTATGATTTATTGTTTATCATGTTAATTATACTTTTAAATTTTGTTAAATTTCAAATATATGAAGCATATCATATGATATTATTAAAATCATTGATAAACACATGGAGCAAGAATGATTAAAAACTTTGTGGAACTAAATGAGGAACAATGCAGGTGTGTTATTCTTTCAGGTTGCAGAAGAAACCAATATTTCTGAGATGTTTATGTGCACAGATCACAGAATCAGGGTGGTCAACGCATTCATTAATTTATTCAACAATATTTGTCAGAGCCATTTATTTACTAGGCACTTCCCTGGGATGGGAATAGAAGGATAAGTTAACCAGACTCCATTTCATGGAATTTAAAGATTAGTGATGGAGAAAGATAAGTACTAAGAGTGGGAATAGCTTTTGTTTTTAATCACCAATTCAGAATGCATATCATTTAATACCAATAAAAATCCTATGAAATGTTATTTATTTATTTGTTTTATAGGTAAATGAATTTGTTTTATAGGCAAAGATATAAAATTTTCAGAACAGGTGGAGTAGCCAGTCAGTGGTAGAACTGATCAGCAGGAAAAGGTACTCACAATAGGCTGTTGTTCTCTGCTATGATGGTCATTCAATAAAAAGCTTTGGAGTATTGGTTAAATACATATGAATTAATACTTCATTATCATTAATTCACAGTTAACTTATCTTTTCCTTTGAGGCTGCAAGGATAGCCTCCAAATTCATTATTTTCATTGATCCAGAATAGATCCATTGATGATGTTCAGTATGAAGAAGAATCAGCTAATTAGGAAAAGATCTTTTATACTGAGCACAGCCAGGCTTCTATTGATCACCTGTTTCCTGCTTTGTTTTCTGAAGTATTTTCATGTGACATTGTTTGGATTTTTAGCTACAAGAAAGACCAACCTTTTATGGAAGACAACTTTTGATGTCTATCCCTCTTCTGAATTCATCAAAGTGTGTATTAGTTAATATGTAGGTTTCTTAGAAGAATAGAATTTCATGAGATTAGTCGAGAATCCAATGCTGTACACAACAAAATTTGTCTAACAGGTACTATATGTAATGCATTAAACTAACATTCTTTCATCATATCTTTGTATCATAAAGGAAAATGCTGATTTCTAAAAATATTCAACTTGTTCTCTATGAATAAGGAGCTCTCAGCTGAGAAAGGTACAAAGACAAGGGAAAAAAATTCAGTGAGTGGACAAGTGCTAGAAAGAAGCCGTACAATGTGGGGGTGGCTAGAAATGTAAGAAGAGGCCTTTCAGTGGATCTCAAGGATGGTCCTTATCAGCTAATGAAATCAGGGGAGGAGTATTCAAAACATGATGACTGGAACAATTTGTTACTGATCCTTTTTTTTTTTCATTTTTAACTACTAAGGAACAAATTTTCTCAGTTCATGTGACAGATGGAAGCTGATCATGAGCTGGGTTTCTGGGACAGGTGCACTAGCTATGTTCTTCCAGCAGATGGTAGCTTATCAGCGTCCACAGGTCAAACTTGTGATCTCAGGCTGCTTTATTCCTTGATTCAAATTTGAAATAAGGTAACTAACAGACCTAGGAAAGGAGCAAAAGAAAATAATAGAGAATAATAATGCTGTGTTTTTATATTTTAGATATTTAAAAGCAGTTTCCACATTACTGCATTTTGTCCTAATTCAATGCAATGCAGAGATAATGTCATCTCCTCTTTCAGACAAGGAAGCACCAGATCCACAGGACTGAGTGACCTGGCTAATGTCAGAGAACACACAGGCAGCAAGGCTACAGTCAAATAAAGATGACATCATTCCCAATCCAGTGATTTACAGTTTAAAGAAAAGAGTAAAACAGAAGACTGCACATAACTGAACTGAATAGCAAAATAGATAAAGTAATGCATTATAGAGGGAATACTGTGAATAATTTTTTAATCCATGTTCTTCCTGGAGGACATTGAATTGTCTTGCATTATTTGTGCAGGTGCAAGGCTATGGGAAGTTTCAACACCAGTTTTGAAGAGGGCTTCATTTTGGTGGGCTTCTCAGATTGGCCTCAACTGGAACTTGTCTTTTTTGTCTTCATTTTAATTCTTTACTCCCTAACACTGTTTGGAAACATAACCATTATCACACTTTCACAACTGGACCCTCAACTGCACACGCCCATGTACTTCTTCCTCTGCCACCTCTCCTTCCTGGACCTCTGCTATACCACCAGCACTGTGCCCCAGCTGCTGATCAATCTTTCTGGATTTGACAGGACCATCAGCTATGGAGGGTGTGTGGCTCAGCTTTTTATATTGCTCTCTCTAGGTGGAACTGAGTGTATGCTTCTGGTGGTGATGGCCTTTGACCGCTATGCTGCTGTGTGTCGTCCACTCCACTACACAATCATCATGAACCCCCTTCTCTGCCAGTCCCTGGCTATTGCTGCCTGGGTGGGAGGTCTCATGAACTCTCTGATTCAGACAAGCCTCATGATGGCCATGCCTCTCTGTGGCCTCCATTACCTGAACCACTTCTTCTGTGAGATGCTTGTACTCCAGAAGTTGGCTTGTGAGGACACAGGAGGCACAGAGGCCAAGATGTTTGTGGCCCGAGTCATAATCATTGTTATTCCTGCAGCACTGATTCTAGGTTCCTATGCACACATTGCTCAGGCAGTGCTGAGGATCAAGTCAATGGCAGGGTGCAGAAAGGCTTTTGGGACCTGTGCGTCCCATCTCTTTGTGGTTTGCCTGTTTTATGGCTCAGCCATGTACACATACCTCCAACCCCTAGGCAGTTATTCTGAGAATGAGGGAAAGTTTATTGCCCTTTTCTATACTATAGTTACTCCCATGCTCAATCCTCTGATCTATACCCTAAGGAACAAGGATGTGAAGGGGGCTCTGTGGAAGGTACTGGGGAGAAGCCAAGACTCAAAATAGAAGGGGAAAGAGAGTTAGTAAAAATTTCTATGACTATGGCTCAGTGGTAGAGTGCTTGCCTAGCATGTGTGAGGCACTGGATTTAATTCTCAGCACAATGTATAAATACATGAATAAAATAAAAAAGGTCCATCAACATCTAAATTTTTTAAAACAATTTCTATGACTTTCATATGATGGAGCGCATCCCTTTCCTTGTAGTTAGTCTGTAGCAACAAGTTCTCTATAAGACATGAGGTTTTACTGCTGCCCTTTATTGGAATCAGAAAGTGTGGATCTCTTGAGTTGATCAGCTGTCATGATAATTGTGCAGCAGAGAATATGTGTTGATTTGTATCACTACTTTCTAAAAGAATGAGATGGGAACAGGATGCATTGTGAACACTTATGAAGAGTGATATGGGGTTCTTTGCATATCTGAAGATGATAGAAGGATCATTTCTTTTTGACCACACTTTTTCCAATCAGATGCCAATGTGCTGCCATGTAGAGGGCACTGTGACAAAGGCAGAGGAAATGAGTTGACCCTGATTTTCTGATTATCTGTGACTCTGGCCACATTTCTT